AAAGGTGCATTTGGCCTCTTGCGATGGTTAATATCCGTGACTTTCATTGCTTGGTCCAGAGCGCCACTCTGCGATATTTTTGCTGTAATGCCACGACCAAAGAGGTGTGTTTCTAAGCCGTCACTTGCTTATGTGGTTGCTCGCCTGATTGTTGGGTGCTGAGCTAGATAGATGTTACATGTCACACGCTCGCCATGGTGTCGGCGTCGGCGGTGCTGCTGACTGCATGGTGGTACAGTCCCAAACGGTCTCCGTGCGTCGGACCGTTCTCGCCAGCCAACGCGCCTCGTTTCTGTTGTCTCGCCGGCGTGTCTGAGAGCGTGTCTGAGCCCGACCGACGTCATCAGGCGGTGAAGGCGGCGGCGAGGAGGGGCCGCCACCGACACACTGATGCTGAGTCGGGTCTTCCCCGTCCCGCGCTCCACCGGCCGGCGGGGCCGCACCCACGGCAGCAGGTGAGGGTCAGACGGCACTCACGGCAGCAGGTGAGGGTCGCGCAGCACGGCAGCAGTGAGGGTCGCGCAGCACCCACGGCAGCAGGTGAGGGTCAGACGGCAACCACGGCAGCAGGTGAAGGCTACACAGCCCCACGGCAGCAGGTTAGGGTCGCACAGCACCCACGGCAGCAGGTGAGGGTCAGACGGCACTTACGGCAGCAGGTGAGGGTCAGGCGGCACCCACGGCAGCATGTGAGGGTCAGACGGCACTCACGGCAGCAGTGAGGGTCGCATAGCACCCCGGCAGCAGGTGAGTGGTCACGGCACCCACAGCAGCCGGTGAGGCTACACAGCCCCACGGCAGCAGGTGAGGGTCACACAGCACGGCAGAAGGTGAGCATTAACACAGCACCCACGGCAGCAGATAAGCGCCATGTGTACCCCTTCCGACTCCTCCAGTATCAGGCGAGTGTCCCATGTGGCTGGCGGGCCACCATGCATGCGTTACATGTGGTGTTGGTGTACGGGCTTCTCGCAGTATAGCGGAAGGCGCCATGTTGCAGACGTGCCATTGGTTCTGGTCTGATCGCTGTGTATCGACCGTCGAGCGACCTCAGTGGCCGATTGGAGAAGGCCGCCATTCACAAGACCACGCCTTAAAACCAGTTTTTGGTGCTACGTCTGCGTGAAATCTCGTTGGAATGCTTAAGGCGTGGGTCACGTTACTGATGGTACCTAGTGTAGATGATAATGTACCCTAATGAGTAAATGTACTTCATAGGTAGAAGTCAGGAATAGATCAAGGTTCAGCCCTCGCAGATCTGTCCCGTCTCGATGGTCAGACTACGGACGCACATGCGTCGGCCCCGTGCGGATCCCGTTCTGATCCCGTTCTGATCCCGTTCTGATCCGTTACACCGAGCGGCTGCCATCATCCGTGCTCTCTCAGGCCAGCTGGGGCGGCCTGTGCTGACCCGCCGGCTCACGTTTCAGCGGAACGAGTCTGGACGAGTCGTGCAGCTCCACCGGCAGCGAGCTGTCCCTACTGAGGCTGGACGGCGTCGGCTCCTCGCCCACCCACCCCAGGTCGTGCCCTCGTCCACCCAGCCGGGTCGGTGCCCTTGCCACCCACCCCAGGTCGGCCGGTCGGCCCTTGCCCACCCACCCCAGGCCAGTGCCATTACAGTTGTTTATTTCTGCCTACCTTCAGATAAGATCGTGCCAGTCCAGCATGCTGAATTCTGACCATCTACTTGTTTAAAGTATGTAAGGTGTCGGTATCTTGAATTTAAACTCGGACGAGCACTATACAGGCTACTGGTCATGGCAGTGCTCCTGTGTCCCTCTCAGTCGGCACGTTGCCTGCCACGTGACATCGCATTATCAGCATCAATGCCAGTCCTCCTCAGTGAAGCACGTGCGTCTCGTTCCCTTCGGCTGTGGCCCGAAGCCAGCGTCACGGGCTGTTGTTCGGGGCCAGGTCCTGCAGTATGGACTGTCCGCCGCCGGTGGGCCGCCCGAGCGAGGACTCGGGGCTGAGCAGCGTCGACAGCTTCATGGGGCCGCCGTCGTGCCTGCCGACGCCCTACGGCACGCCCATCTCGACTCAGGGTCAGTGGGCGTGCGTCCCACCCGGGGACTGCCGGCTCTCACCGCTGACAGCGTGACGTCGCTGACCGTGGATGCACACGTGGTCTGCCGGCGTGAGAGCTGGGAGGCGACGGCGGAGCGTATTTCTAGGTTGACTCGTCCTTTTTACCTGCGAGTTGCTGCGTTTGCCTGCTTTGTGTCTCGTGCACCACTCGTAGCAGGCCCGGCGTGGCCCGTTTTGTGTACGATAGATACCAGAAGCTTGTTCTGTAGCTGCTGCTGTCGGGTGTGGGCGAGCTGCCGTTTTTCACGCCGCGTCCTCGTGCCGCCTCCTGCCGCGTCACCTGCTCGTGCTGCCTTGGTGCGCGTCGCAGCCGCCGGTCACAGTGTTCCCTGTCGCGTGCTCATGCTATGGTATAACGTGTCACCCGCCGGGGCGCGGTGCAGCGTGTAACGAGCCGCCGTGACCGTGCTGCCGCTGCGGCAGGCTCCGGCGCATCGCTGGGCTCGCACGGCTCACTCCACCGGCACTCACTGCTGCGGCCCGTCGGCTCCTCCGACCTGGTGGTGACGTCACGCGATGACGTCAGCCTGCGCGTGACGTCACGGACCCGGCTGGCGGTGGGCGTGCTGGTGACGCTGTCCGGGCCGGGCCGCAGGTCAGCCGGGGTCAGGCCGTCCCGGTCACGGGGACGGGGGTGGGGCGGGGAGCCGGCCGAGACCTCGCGCCACCCTGAGGCACTTCTCAGCGTCCAGTTGTGACGACTGGTGCGAGGTGCCTCCTTGGAAATAATATGCAGAAAGACGCGCTGCTGCGGTACTCTGTCCAGCAGCTGTGTGGTGTACCTTTGTGTGACGCCCGTTTGGCCCCCGGTGACTGTTCTGGAGGACACGCTGCTGCAGTACCCTGTCTAGCAGCTGTGTTGTGTATCTTCATGTGACACCTGTGTGATTCCCTGGTGGATGTCTGACCCCCCGTGTGATGCCCTGGTGGATGTCTGACTCCCCGTGTGACTCCTCGGTGGCAGTGTTCTGGAGGACACGCTGCTGCAGTACTCTGTCCAGCTGGAGCACCTGCTGGCGCGGCTACAGCTTAGCGTGGAGCGGGCGTACCCCAACCGGCGACACTTCGTCCGGACCGTGTACCAGGCGACTGGCGCTGCCAGACAGGTGAGTCGCCGGCCACGGCCCGCCCCACCCCCAGCGACCGACACTGACGGACAGGTAAGCTGCTGGTCTCTCCCCGCCCCGCCCCCAGCGACCGGCTCTGTCGGACAGGTAAGCTGCTGGTCCCTCCCCGCCCCGCCCCGCCCGCCCCCAGCGACCGGCGCTGCCAGACAGGTGAGCTGCTGGTCCCTCCCCGCTCCGCCCCCAGTGACCGGCTTTGCCAGACAGGTAAGCTGCTGTTCCCTCCCTTCCGTTCCGCCCCGCCCCTAGCGACCGGCGCTGCCAGACAGGTGAGCTGCTGGTCCCTCCCCGCCCCGCCCCCAGTGACCGGCTTTGCCAGACAGGTAAGCTGCTGTTCTCTCCCGCCCCGCCCCGCCCCGCCCCCAGCGACCGGCGCTGCCAGACAGGTGAGCTGCTGGTCCCTCCCCGCCCCACCCCCAGCGACCGGCGCTGTCAAGACTGATGAGCCGCCGGCCCCTCCCCGCCCCGCCCCCAGTCACGGTCGCCTCTGGCTGCAGGCGTCAGCGCACACCGGCGTTGTGAGCGTGCGGTCTGAGAGCAGACCCTGAGCCGTATCGTTTGAGTCTCGACGCTTTGTTCGGGCTGAGGCGATCAATGAACGCTCAACCCTGCGCTGCCAACGTGTCTGGCTATTGAGTCGGGAGCGTGGGGTGGTGCCGCGTCAGGCGTGCGAGACGCGCGTCACGTGCGACATTCGCCGTATCTCATCAGCGCCGTGCCGTCCGCACGGACCAAGTGTGACGCTCGTGGTGACGAGGCCACCTCCTCCTGGACAGGACCTGCTGAACCTGCTGTCGGCGCCGCGCCTGCCGCGTCCCGTCTGGCTGGGTTTGACGTCAGACAGCGTGACGTCGCACCAGCGTCACCGTCTGGCGGCGCTGTTCGTGGCCGAGCTGACGTCGCTCGTCGCCGAGTTCGACACCAAGGAGAACAACTGGTGAGGGGCGCGACGGTGCCGGCGCCGGCGGCCGCCGCTGCCAGGCTACGGGTCGGGTACTGAACCCGTCTGTGCGTAGGGTGTGTATCTGCAGGAGGTGATGTGTCTCATCTCCGGTGTAGAACTGTACCCCTGCATCATGATAGAACTGTGGTGTAGAACTATGGTGTAGAACCGTAGCATCACGCCGGCCCCATCTGCCACGCACCCAGTGTTTCCACGATGTTAGCGTTACGGCTTTGCCGTTGTTTGACTGCGCTGTGGTAGGTCTCTGTGCGCGAGCTGTTGCTGTTCGTTTTATCCACCCCGCGCGAGCGGACCTCAACGCAGTCTCCGTGGCCGTGGTGACCATTGCCGTGTGTGTGTCGCGGACAGCTTCGTCACAACGGTGCTGACGGCCGTGCTGACGCACCACCTGAACTGGGTGACGACGGTGGCGCCGCGTGGCGGCGGTGCCGGCGGCAGACTGGACGGCGCCGCCGGCCACCCGCCGCGACCGGCCCGCACCCTGGTGGTCGGCCAGCGAACTGAGATCATCGGCCGCTTCCTGCTGCT